GTTCTTTGGTACGGGATAATTTTCAATTGTGGTGAATTTTAATTTGTCTGGTTGGATACCATAACGCGAAATTTGATGTCCTAAAAACAACACTTCGTGTTTAAAGAAACAACATTTCGATGGGTTAAGCTTTAGGTTGAATGCTCTCATTCGTTCAAATACTTTTTCCAGGTTATACAAATGATGCTTAATAGAACATCCAATGACAATTATGTCATCGATGTACAGGAAAGCACATTCTGGAGGTAGCCCACTCAACGCAATGGTCATCATGCGTTGGAAGCTGTTTGGACTAATGTTGAGTCCAAAAGGTAATCTATTGAACTCAAAGTGTCCGGATTCAGTGGAAAATGCAGTGTATTTTTTGCTTTCTTCGCTAAGTGGTATTTGATGAAACCCTGACTTCAGGTCCAGCGTTGAAAAGTATTTCGCTCGACCCAATTGGTCCAGAATTTCATCAATCCTAGGCAATGGGAATTTGTCGGGTATTATCTTTTTGTTTAGTTGTCGAAAATCAACAACTAAACGCCATTTTTTCTCTCCTTGAACATTCTTCTTCGGTACTAGAAGTATCGGAGAATTATATGGAGAATAAGAGTTTTGAATAATGTTTTCATTTAACATTTTATTAACGTGATTATGAACCTCTGTCTTTTGTGTATGAGGCGTTCTATAATTCCGTATATAAACAGGGTTTCCATCATTTAGACAAATTTTCTGTTTATAGAAATTATTGTGTGTTAAACTGTCTTCATCAAGAGCAAATACATCATTATATTTGCTACATAGTTTTAAAAGTTCCGTTCTGCAGTCTGGATTTACGTTATCCAATTTCAATTGCTCTAATAGTTTTTTGTTCCTTTGTGCAATTGTGGATTGAGTCATGTTGATTTGAAAAGCATCATAGTTACTCAAAGGTTTAAATTCTGGAGTGAAATTAACTGGTATATATACATTTTCGTCTGTTGTGTTAATTATTTTCATATATGGATTGCTTTTATTTACTATGCTATTTGCATAGAGTACACCTGGGTATACTTCGTTTGCGATTACTACACTATCTTCTGTCAAGTTGCCGTAATTTAACTGTTTTATAACTTGACTTCTTGGTGGGATTACTAAATTTCCACCAATATTATTTTCAATTGGAATACTTACATTTTCATTATTAATTTTAAGATTTAATAACCAGCTATCATAATCTATATTACATTTGTTAATTGTTAAAAAGTCTCTTCCCAATATTCCTTCAGTAGGAATAGGAAAGTCGCTATTTACTATATGAAACTTTTGTGGAATACTTATACCATTAATATTGATATTGGAGTAGGTACAGCCAATTGAATTAACTGTGCCAGCACCTATACCTGTAATATTACATATTTCTTTAGGATAATAATTTTGGGTTGATTTTATTTTGTTAGATTTAATCACTGAAATATCAGATCCACTATCTATCATAAATGCAATTGGGGTATCCGATAGATCAGCTGTTAAATTTATAAAGTTCGAGGCAGCAACGTTTATTGCGTATGCTGCCCGTGATGTACTCCAAAAAAAAGGATGCACATTTGTTAGGGGATTTGGTTGTTGAGGATGAAGTTGCTGCTGCAACTGTTGTTGTATTGGTTGGTGTTGCAATTGTTGAGTTTGATTATTGGCATCATTTGCATGTGCCATAAACATATTTGGTGTGTAGGAACCTCTTCGGTTCCAACTTCCTCTTTGGTGTGGGTTGCGGTTATTTTGCCGCCAATTTCCTCTGTTGAAATATTGTTGTGTGTTGAAGTTTCCACTCCTGAATTGATATCGGTTAGCATGATAATGTTGATTACCACGACCTCTATACGGAGGTCCACCACGACCTCGTGATTTGCTTCCTCTACCGGCCCAAAACATTTGAGCATTTGTAGAGATGTTACCAGCACCAGTAGTGGTGTCATTTTCCATTACTTTCTGCCCGGCATCATAAATTTTGCTGAATTGTCCAGCTTTGAGAATGGTTTTTGTTTCTGTATTTTTGATACCACTAATAAGGGTATCAATTCCTACTTTTGTTGCCATGGTATTGGCTCTGGCCATCGGAATTTCTTCCTTAATGTAACACGTTCTTAGCTGAGTGGTTAGTTCTTCGACTTTATTACAAAAGGTTTCTGTTGAATCCTTTTGTTTTAGAGCTTTCAGTTTGGCTACTACGTTATCTGATGTCACTTTTGAACCACAATTGTTCTTGATGGCATCAAGAATTTCTTGTAAGTCATTGAGCTCAGCAATGACTTGACGGGCTAAACCTGTAATTCGCGTTTTTACGAAGCGGGTAAGAGTGGCTTGTGCTGCAGCCTTTGCTTCTCGAGTTGCTGTAGCAAAATCAGCATTTACCAGATCTTGAAATAATGTCACTGCATCCAGAAAAGCATTAAGATTTTCTGGGGCACCATCATACGTCGCTATGAGTGAGGTGCCCGTTTTGATGTCTACCTTTGCCATTTTACTTGGTTTACTTTTTATTTTGATATAAAATGAGAATACTAGAGCTATTGTTCGTAAACTTGTAATTTGATCTTTTGCGTTCACAAGTTTTTCGTCCGCAATTAGCAAAATGTCGTTGTATTTTTGTCGAACAGCTCTGATGTAGAAATTGAGTTCTGTAGATGTAAACTTAGTTTCGTTTTGCGCTAATCGATCGTTTACTAATGTATAATTCTTTATAGCCTGATTTTTCTTACGGATTAAAAATTTCCTGCTGTAAAGTCTATTCGGCGCTTTTGTGAAATTAATTAATATGGAATTCAACTCGGAAATGTGTAAATCTATCTCATATTTGATTTCTTCTAATTCCATTTATCGATATTTTTCAAAAGAACGACAATTTTGTGTAAGCTCAAAAAAACCTTATGAAGAAAAAAAATGTTTTACATCACCATATTTTTGTTCCTTGCTGCTTCCACATCCGATCTCGTCTGGGCATCTTGGGTTATCGCTGCGCGTATTTCGTCCTTGCTGGGGTTGTATGGCCGAGGGCACGCGTTCGCCCGTCGGCTAATTATGTGTAATTTCTTGTGATATTACCGAGGGCGCGCACTCGCCCGTCAGGTATTGCGATCTGCGTTAGCGCAATGTTATCTGCATTCCATCACGGCAGCTCACCATACTTGGAATTTAATTATTGCATTATTGTTCGTGTCCATCATTTGCATTAAATTCACTTCATAAGTTTTTTTTTTTTAATTATTTTTTTTTTTTTGCACTGTTGCACGCGAATCAAAACGGTTGTTTTATCGAAATGTGTAGCGTAACTTTACAAAACGTATCGTTCGAATGTTTACACCGCATCTGTTATTCTGTCAAGATTTTGCCTTGACTTGAAAGCACGTCGGCGCTCTTTTCGCTGCAGTAATTTGTAGCACAGCAACAGAAACTGAACAGCAACGATGATTAAAATCAACCAGAGTTTGATTTCATGTTCGTCGTGGTAGATGGTGTGCATTTCTTGGTTAGCGATAATCGTCACATCTTTATCGCCGGTGGTGTCTACCTTTGCAGCTGACGATTTTCTATTGCCCATTATTAAAAGTCACTTCGCCGGGCACTTTACATCACAATACAGGTTACACTATAAGAATCTGTTCCTTAGCACAGTTCACTTTTTTGTTATCACTTTTCGAAGAAGGCACGCCTGTTCACTGGTAGCCATGATACGTTCGGACCTGAGGACCATGACTTTCGGATAAAACTACCGAACGCTTTGACGATTCAACTGAGAGTGTTTATTATAATGTTTTTAGGTTTGGAGTCAGCTAGTGTACATGGGTGTATGTTATATAAAGACAAGGAAAGTGCATATGCAGCTTATGCTGCGTTTGCAAATTAGAACCTCGCGGCCTGGCTTAAGTATGTGCTGTATTTACCGTGTGAACCGGTCATATTACGGATTCACAAGTCGGACTGTAATTCTGATGAATTGGTATGCTGGAACGACACGTTTCTGCTGATGCAGTAAATTCTTGTACTGTATCAAGATTTGTGGATGTCTACTACAAATCGGATCACTATGAAGTTGAGCAGTAGTATAGCTAAACACACAACAATTTGAATGTTGGAGAACATGTTAAAACTTTTATTTATTTTTATTTCTATTAATTCGAAGTTGAACGTACAGAATAATTAAATTTCGGTTTTGAAAAAGAAATTGATAGTCCGATTATTCGAAGAAACCCGCTATTGAAAGTGATACAGTTACCATCGTTGTTGCTGTTTCCGGGTTTGAATCGTAATAGCTTGATCATTAGTGGTGCAGGGGGAACAATACTTATTCTGATTTTATTAGCGCTGCTACGGCATGTGAGCAGGATGGAAAGAATAAATCGGAATAGACAGAATGATAAACAGGGATATTTAGGATATCTTGCAAAAAAAAACTACAAATTTATATAAAAGAGATGTCTGGAATAGATAAAAAATGTCCTTGATTTTGTTTCGTTGATGCGGATAAAAATGCGGAAAATTGATGTGGAATGAGGATGAATGAAGATTTGTTCTTCCCCCTGGAGTGGTGTGCTGTGATATGCGGGCTCGATAACCTAGTGGCGACCGTTTTTGCTTACTGCAAAGAAAATCGCGGGAGCCCAGGCTCCTTTGCAGTACAAAGCCGTTAGTGTTGCCAAAACAAAACCTTGCTGCAAACAAAACCCCTTTTATCGAAAATCCCAGCGTTTTCACGTGGACATGCAGAAAACCATGGAAGAAAACCTATCATCTGAATCCGAGCATGTAAGCCAAGTGTCAGATGTTCTCCTTACGGAAAATGCTTGCTCTTCAACTTTTTCCCCCATGATAGGTGGTAGAGACCGAAATTAACGTCAGCTGCACGCTCTGCTTCGGAGCTTTAGGGAAAACATTCTATCACTGACTAACTGCATTTGGCTCTATTATACCTCTATTATTATATTATACCTATATACAAAATATCTAACCCATTCTTCTCCGCATTGTCGTTACAGATGAACATACTGGTAATATCGTTCCTGGCGCTAGCGTCGTTGACGACCTTCCCCACGCAGACGCTCGGAACGCCAGCCGCGGCCGCCGCCGACGTGTCCGACCCGAAGAAATCGCTAGCCGCTGCCGAGGCGGCACAACCCGTCAACGATAATGCCCTGAAGGAGATTTGGCAGGAGGACGACCGCGAGGTGCTGATCCGGAACGAACGGGGCACCAAGAACGGCGGAGCCGCTGGTAAGAAAGACCGCAAAAAAGACAAACACTCCAACTCCTCACCATCATCATCATCTTCATCATCATCACCTTCCTCCTCGGCGACCCTCCAGAAACTCAAACAACAAAACTCAAAATCCAAACCCGACACCAACCGACAGCAGAGTAAGTGTGCGAGATTTTGTGTAAACACTCTAATTTAAGATTTTTTTTTCTCGTTGGTTTTGATTGGCACTGATTCGCTTTGTTGTTTATTTAAATTGGTTATTTTGGCAAAATTTAACACACTAACACGGAAACCTACTAGGTTCATATCTTCCTAAGTACGCCTTAATTTTGTAGTTTGAGTTGATCACGTGTCCATCTCATTCCGAAGTAAGAGTGATTATAACTAGACTAGCCAAACATTAACAATCAACAGTGAGTACTTGTGTGCATGACGCTAATATACTATAACAACAATTAAAGTGGTTATCATGAACCAGTCTGTTCTTCATCTACGTGGGATACAAATCTAAATCTAACCTAACCTAACCCAACCTGACCGGATAGCCCGTCCGCAATTCCGTTTGGTTTGTTTGAATAATGGAAACGAAAGAGAACATTCAACCGCATCATTCTTCATGTACGTCCACTACAATCCCATTGCTGGAGGTAGAGGTAGCCGTTTTAGAGCCCAAACAGTGGGAGTTTTCTTGTTTTCCCCGGAAAAGCACCACCGCTAGCGCACGTGTATATGATGCGGGTGATTGTGTTTATGTGTCTTTGTTTGGATTGTGTGCGTGTGTGTGATTGCGATCCGGACCTAACAAACTAACCCACTAGCGAACTAGGATCGAGGGGGGTTTTAGTCGGGCAAGTTTTCCTCACGCTTCAAATAACTTTCAAATTTCGTTTTCCATTTCCGGAATTTCATTTTTCCCGTACTGCTGCTGCTGCTGCTGCTGCTGCTGTTGCTCCATTCTTGTACTTTTACCGCGATGGCATTGTTGCACCGAAATGTGATAACTGAATGGACTCGCATAGACTCGCAGTGCCGATACACCAAGGGACCGTGGACTGAGTGCGAAGCCAAATCCAATACCCGCTCCAGAACGCTTTCGCTGAAGAAGGGTGAACAGTCTTGCGTCCAGACCCGCACCATTCAGAAGAAGTGCAAAAAAGGTAAGTGCATATGGGTGTAATTTTTTTTATATTGGTCATTATAAGTTTGTAATATGTATTTTGTAGAATGATTCAAATGAGAGAGACCTTTTTTAACATGCCATCAGTAATGATGAATATTGTCAGAAAATAGTGAAACATTTGTAAGCACTATTTCTAAAATAGCTTCAAAGTTTAACGATAAATCTCAAACACCCCTGAAATAAAGATTTAGGGAGATAAATGGGTTTAAAGATTTGAAAAATCAAATTACGGAGAAAATCGGGTATACACATTTCGAACACCTAAACACCCCTCAAATAACTATTAAGGCCATAATTACATGAACATGAGCATGATTGGCCACCGGAGGATGCAACTCCGTTATTGCCAGATCAGCTGTAATTACACAGAGAACCAATAGACGTTACTTGGGACTAGCAATCATCCTCAATGTGTAAGTACTGGTGATCTAAAACTAGGCAATACCAATGCCGGCCACGTCCGAATGCTGGTCAAGAAAGGAATGGGTAGGAATATGCTTTAATGAAAGCCGGGGGGTGTTGGGTAAAAGGGTTTGGATTGCAACATGACTAGTTTTGGCAAACGATATGCTGAATTGATGTCCTAACGATTCAATAGCACGAAGGAGCTTAAATTTGAACCCACGGTCTTCTGCTCAGTAAGCAAAATCAGTCACCACTAGGCTACCTAGCTCCTTATATCACAAAATAATTACGATCAAGTTTCCGTTCAACTTGTTGTTACTAGGTCTCGATCCCGATTTTTTGAGACAGTATTTGGTAAAGATTGAATTAAAATTAAACAAATAAATGGAAAGGATCTCATCCGAATGATCTGTAATTAGCCGGCCTTCTAATGATTCATAAGCTTAAAATCAATCGCAGTTCAAAGTTTACCGCTTAAAAAAATATGTGTATACCGTGGACCCCCGGTAATCTGACCGGTTTTAATTTGAGCACTTTTTAGTTTGAATTCCCAAATGTCATTTTACACATGTAATGAAAAAAATCTTTATAGAACGAGGCGGAACGGAACGCAGAATCAAAACAAAACAGCAAATAAGGCTACCAGAAACTTGCTTTTCTGAAAATCATAGGGTTAAACACTAGAAGTCCAAATTAAAAATGAACCCCGTTAATATGCATGAAGTGTCGTTTAGATTAACGGGGGTCCACGGACTAGATATACATTTTTTCCTGAAAATAGACACTAACCAGGAAACGAAATGAAATGTTATGAAAATACACCATGAATAATATTCATGATATCATGAGCAACTTTTGCGTAACGCAGCAAACATTCCCAAAATCATGAATCATCCGAGTTGAAATCATGATCTAAATTCATGGGTTCAACTTTTAACCAAAAAATGTAAAAAGAATAAAATAAAGCATTAGACTGGATTCGAACCAAGAACCTTGAGATCATTAAACCCATACTTTGACCACTAGACTATCAGTACTTTTATAAGATGGAAGACAAAAGGCGTATAAGAGATACCTATGTAATGTGGTTTATGAATACTGTTTGCCAAGTACGTGTAACGCTTGTAGCGGTCTTGATTCCACTGCATTATGAAATCATGAATTTCCATGACGAAATCATGAATCATTCTTACGATTTCATGGGATGGCAAGTTTTTTCATTTCATGATTTTTTATTCATGAAAATGGAATCTGATTTGTTTCCGTGCTTACAAAGTAGCTTGTGAGGTGAGACGCAAACCAAGGCAATATAAATTATACGTGGGTTCCTGTCCTTGCTCATGGTATGACGCGATCGGATGAGTAGATGTCGGTAGTGTTTAACGTATTTTAAATATGCCCAAGACACGAATTTGAAAGTAGCTTCAAATTCGTGCCCAAGACGCCATATTTAAAATACTATAAACACTACCGACATCTACTCATCCGATCGCGTCATACCATGAGCAAGGACAGGAAACCACGTATAATTTATATTGCCTGGTTTGTGTCTCACCTCGTTTGACAGATCTGATCGCCCGTTTGAAAGTTCGAATCACTCGATTAACAATGCGAATTGTGGACAAATGAAATGCGAATTGTGGACAAATGAAATGCTCCTGTGGCATGTCGATTCATCGGTGATAATTCCTCAACCGGACCGGACCGGAAATCAAAACCGCCGCCTCCCCAACTAACAATTTTAGCTGCAGATTAGCTTATACAGTCAAAAATTGGCTAATTTTTGCCTGTATAAGCTAGTCTGCAGCTAAAATTGTTTGTTGGGTCTAGCTTGGTAATACCAACCGGAGGAAACTAACGATTTTAAATTGGCTCACTACTTGATTAGCCTATTGGTCCCAAGCAAATCGATTAACGTACCCCATTCTAGTCGAAATTCTAGTACTACACTATGTTTGTTTTGATTTGCTATAAAAGTTTGACAGATAAAATGAGGGGTTCGTGGATTTCCCTATGTTTCGAGAGGTGCATCGTTTAGTTAGGGACCGAAGAGAGTACCAGAGCAGAGCCAAAAAGCTGAGCACGTTTCTTCGGGACCTTCTGGTCTTAGAGTTACCTCTATGGTAATACACTGTCTTTACTGACTAGGCTATCTTAGGCCAATAGTGTTAATAGGTTCAATAGTGTTCTATGGTGTCAATATTTAAAGCTTGTTTTTCCGTTATTGCTGTAACAAAGTTTCCGATTGTCCCTTCAACTTTGAGTAAAATGGCAGTTGTGTCCTACATAACATAGCAAATAACACATACAGCATTACTCACTAGTTTATACACGTTTCACCCACAGCCTGCCGTTACGACAAGGGAGCCTGGTCCGAGTGTGCCCCCACCGGTCAGATGTCCCGTACCGATAGTCTGAAATCGAGCAGCGACGCTACCTGCCAGTCGACGCGAGTGGTCAACAAAAACTGCAATCAGGGCAAGTCGAAAGACAAACAGAACAAATCGCCAAAGGCCGAAAAGAAGGAGAAAGGTAAGTTCCACCCAGTTAAGAGCTGGACTAGCGGGAGCTTCCTATGAGAGGAAGAGGAGAAAGGAGTTCGATCAAATCCGAACTAAGCCCAATCTAACGATGGGGGTCAAATTGGTTATACAAAAACGGAAAGAAATCGCTGATTGCAGCAGTGATTCTATTGGAAGAAAGTTTACGTACGTAATCAAAATCAAGTTAGACAAGTGGAGTTGAAAGTAGTACATAGTATGGAGGCACCCACATTGAACTAATTGGGAAGGGAATCGGACTTGCTCGTAGAAGTAGTCAAAATATGTGCATAACTTGATTGCAACAATCATGCCTCTAATGTTGCAATCAAGATTAGCCGTTGCGTAAACGGGACGCCTCCCTTGATAGCATTAGATAAAGGGTGTATTCGATAAAAATGGCACACCGAAATTTATTTTAAAAAAACCTGAAAATTTGAGTAAATCTTATTCATGGTGTATTGTTTACATATGTCAAGTTTCATAGTTATTCATACTGTAGTTCCAGTCATGTCGTCGATACAAGAAATTGATCGTGAAAAAAATGTGTGCAGCCAGGAAAGTGGTGCAACAGTTCAAGAACCGTCCAAGCCTGTAAATTCGAGATGGTGCTAAAATGTCCAAGGTGTCAGTCGGTTTTCTGCAGAAAACCATGAAGCGTGCTGGGTTACATATTCACATGGTGCAAAAATCCCCAAACTGGAATGAAAAGCAAAACATCACTGCGAAAACCCACACCCGGAAACTTTACACGAGGTTGCTCACCAAATCGTGTTGCATCGTGATGGATGACGAAACTTACGTCAAGGCCGACTTCCGTCAACTTCCTGGGCAAGAATATTTCATTGCCAAGTCTAAGTTCGATGTTCCGAAGGATGTTCAAAATAAGAAATTATCGAAATTTGCAAAAAAAAAGTTCCTAATCTGGCAGGCGATTTGCCGATGTGGTGAAATAAGCGCTCCCTTCATCACTTCCGAATCAATCAACGGTGCGATTTACACGGAAGAGTGCCTTAAGATGCGTCTATTGCTACTAGTAAAGAAGCACAAAGGATCAACTCTGTTTTGGCTTGATCTAGCATCCTGTCACTACGCTCGAAACGTGTTGGAAAATTTGGGTAAAAACAACAACAAAACACTGGGAAAATAGGTTGTATAAAATTTGATGGGTGGAGTGAAAAGGAAGGTGCGGGCATTCGGGATGGGAGACGCAATTGAATGAAACAAATTTTGTAAATCATACCTTATTAGTAGTTTTTCATTCCCTGAAAATTTCAAGAAAATCCAATAATCGGTTTAGTTTTGGTGAGTAAATATGTGTGTGCCATTTTGATCGAATACACCCTTTATATATACGACGTATAAGTGTTAGCAATAGACGAGTGCACGGATGGATTTGAGTTCACTTACTCGAGAAAAAGTGGCACATACTGCGGGCAATGTTTACTAATCATGAACACTAAATGTTCCTTATTCAATATTCACGAACTCAAATCCATCGGTGCTCTTGTCTGTATTTGTAAATCCGTTTACAGCGCGCAAGTGGAAGCGAAATTTTGTCAAACTGTACAATAAACACAAAAACTCAATAGAAAAGCCACGATAGGATGGCACAATGGTTCTAGGTAACGGGTGTTCAGTACTAACACACACAAATGAGAGTTAAATTTCACCCTGCACTACTGTTGAGAGTGAACTACAGCGGCACAGCCAACAAAACAATGGAGTGCAATAAGAACTTTGGTGAAATTGTCAAAAGTATACCACCACGGTTCTTTGTTACAAACTAAATGCAAATCATAATGAGTAATTATCGATGAAACCGCGCTTCTACTAGTTGTATAAGGTCCATGAAATCCAAAACTATTCATCATTTGATGGAACTTCTATCAGAGTAGAAGGGGAGTGTTTTTCCAGCTCTCAACTTAGTGTTCTAGATGCACTTCCACAGTTATTGATTGAGAGCTTTCTATGTTAACCAATGTATGCATTTTTATACGGTGTGGCAAACACAACTATGCCAACAATAGGAAACTAATGATTTTAAATTGGCTCATTACTTGACTAGCCCATTGGTACATCTATAAGTGTGGTGCTTGGTTTGATTCACCTTATAAATTTGACAGAGTTTAATTAGGGTTTCGTGGATTTTCCTACGTTCCGAGGGGTGCTTGGGACCAAAGGTCTGGTACTTTCTGAGCTAAAAGATTGAGCATTTTTCTTAGAGACCCCCTGGTCCGAAAAAGTGCAATAAGTTTTATTTGTATTTGTATTTGAAATAATTCATCTGACAATTAAGTCTTAATGAATAAAATTAGAGCTAATTTAACACAGACCTAATCCGATTTGCAAAACGTTCGGTTGGTTCATTGAACTCGAAAAACTCTTCGACGTCCGTAAACGCACGAATACACGCTGAGATTGGTTCGTTGTTCCCAAACATGGTTCGGTGAAAACTTGTTTGCAGTAGCGTTGTATTCCGAAGAGATCTGCTCGGCACACGAAAGTTCAACATCGCAAGCAGATCAGTTTCACCATTCAACAGCTTAGCAATAAGCAACGATTGCTGTACTTTCCATCGTTGTTCCAGTGTGTCTAAGCCCAACAGTCGGCATCTATCAGGATACGGCGGCAAATTGTCAGGATCACTCCACGGTAAGTTTCTCAGTGCCAGACGAATGAACCGTTTCTGAACCCGTTCGATCCTTAGGCACCACGTGACATGGTGAGGATGCCAAACGACGGACACATTTTCCAAAATTGGACGGACAAGTGCACAGTGCAATGACTTCCAACAATGTGGATCCAAAAAATCCTTCGCGTTGCTTTCGATATGATCGCTCCGTGTGAATCGTGTAAATCAAAAGTAATTTTTGTGTCTAGTTGAACCCCTAGATCAGTCACACTGGTAACTCTGGTAAGAGTATCGCCGTCGATATGATAGTCAAACAAACAAAATTTGATGTACCATGCGGTGAAACGTGATTATCTGACATTTTTCCACGCTAATAGCGAAGACAACAAATCAAAACAAACAAAACTCATAACTTTCAGGGTTGCCAAACACCTTGATAAGCATACTTTAATTGTCCTTGATAGGTACGTTCGGCAGAGCGCTTGGAACAGCACAACTAATAACTCGGCACGAATTAAGGTGTGCAGAGTTGAACACCCCTTGGAATATTGCATGCAATTCGACTAAACTTTCAGTAATTTTTTTTTTTTTTAAGTTATTGAAAAATTTCGGACTTGAAAAAAAACATATGTCCAGATAAAGGTTTTTGTAATTACAGACATACAAAAAATAAAATAGTAGAAAATTGTGATAGGGGAAATGGCTCTAATGTTGGCCTATGGATCTAAGATTGGGCCCACCGCTAAAAATCAGCTATTTATCCATTTTATCTAAATGAACGCGTCATTGGGAAGGTACTAATGGATATTTTTGGTCGCTATTGAAAATTTAGTCGATTGTTTAATTTATGTAAGGGCCCAAGGGGCATTTAGGCCGAAATAACTTCCATTTCCCCTAGTTACCATTAAGAAAATCTTCAGCCGGAAACAGATTCGCCTCTCACAACTGGAACTTAATGTTTTGTATTTTTTAGATACACATCACTTTAAAAAAATATTGTAGGATCTCGAGATTTTTCAAATAGACAAATTCTTTAGAAAGCAAACATTAGTATTTTTCAAGATTCTAAACTTTGAACAAACTCCTTCTGAACTATGAATTAACTCAATGGAGATTTATGTAAAGCTGCACTAAGACCATAATAAAGAAATTTTACAGATTTTTGTCGGTCAGATGCAGATTAAAAAGATTTTTTGCGATGAAAATACAGATTGAATAATGAACAAATGTGGCATCACTGCATAGGAAACAAGAACCTCACCTAGCTCGTTTCTCGATTTTTTTGTGAATCAGGTTGAGAGGGTGAAATCGGAATTCTCTTTCAGAATCGTTTTCTGAACTGTTTCCCACATCTCGTCCGGGAACTTTTATTTTCATTTCGTTCGCGATTACCGTATAGCTAGTTCCTTAGCAAAGTTCCTGAAGAACTGCGAAAGAACTTTTTTTTGAAAATGAACTTTCCAACACTGCTTGTGAGGCACATAGAACCCAAGTGTGTCACAATTCGAATCAATAGTGTTCAGGTTAAGATTCATACATGAAATGGACGTTTTTCACGATAAGTGCAAAAGTAAGTGTGAGACATATTATGATGACGTGTAGAATTTAGAAGCCACAGTAGCCTTTATGCCACATAGCAAATATTTAATATGAAAAATTTGATTGTACTCACTCCTTAACATATATGGGTCATTCCAGCTCAAGTGGGTACAGAATTTTAAAAAGTTGTGGTCGATGTCACCGATTTGAGCCAAACTTGACCAAAACGCTTATTTTAGCATTCTGAACAAACGCCTTTTTTTATTTTGCTCTAAAGTGCCTAGATCCTTCTGGGCTACAACCCTGTATTTTCAAGATTTTTAAAAATTTAAACTTTCAGAAGAGATTACTACACAACCAAATAAGCTAATCGTGATCTTAGAACGTTAATTTGAAGGTTTTTTAAATTTTAATTCTTATAGGTATACCCACATTTTGTTTTTGTTATAGTTACTACAGTAAATAGGCTGATTACCGGCAGGTATTAAAATTGTTGAAAAATGGCCTTTTTTCACCATGGGCGGGATTTTTTATTTCTTAATATTTTGGGCTCAAATTTTCACCACGCTTTGGAAAACTCTTGTTCTTGGTGTGTTTCCAAGGGCAAATTATTTGGACAAATAGTTTTTGAGATATGACCAGATGAGTGAGAGGTAGTTTTAAGCTTTTCTGGTGAAAAATCAATGCTATTTAATATATATTTTTTTTTTCTTGAATTCCTTCATGCTGATGGCACAATAACCTAACCCAAATAACCAAAAGTTCCGATTAAAATCACTTCCAAGTTCCGTAAAGTTCAAATAAAGTTCCGACCGAACCTTCAAGTTCCATAAAGTGCAAATAAAGTTCCGACAGAACTGTCAAGTTCCATAAAGTTCGAATAAAGTCCCGACAGAACTTTCAAGTTCCATAAAGTTCAAATAAAGTTCCTACAGAACTTTCAAGTTACATAAAGTTCAAATAAAGTTCCGACCGAGGTTCCGACAGAACTTTCAAGCCACATGAAGCAATCTGCACAAGTCTTTATTAGTAACAAAATTGAATGTACGTAAATATTAAATGATCAGTGACCCGAATAAATCATAATTTTTATATTTATGCAGTGCATCAACATTCTATCCAAACATAAAAAAATAATTAAAAAATAATTTCCTGGATACGAACTCGTGTATTCAACATGCGATCTAGTAACGCTAACCACTGCGTCACAAATGTGTTGGAATACCATGCGGGCAAATACCAATTTAAAATTCATCAAGGTGTTGTGTTTCGTATTCAAGTCCAACAGTAGGCGGGACAACAGCTCACTTTATTATATCTCTGATGACGCAGTGGTTCGTGCTGGGGCTCTCACGCAGGAGGAGACTGGGTTTAATTCTTCACACAGCTCCAATTCTACTACTAATGCTGATAAATCAATACACATTAATACCTGCCTTTAGAAATAGCTTTCATAAAAGTGCGAACAAAATATAAAATTGGAGTAGAGGACAAAAACCTGTTTTAATTTATTTTCTAAAAGTTCCGTTCAAGTTCCGCCAGAAGCTGTTTAGAATACTCTTCAATTATGATACCGGAACTTTCAAGTTCTTATAACGACTTAAAAATGATGCTGCTTAGAATTCTATAGACCACCTCCAACCAAGATGCTTTAGCCACAAATAGCCTTTTATCAGAACTTTTGGTTACTTGGGAATATTGTTATGTTATTTTTCGCATGTTCTGGACTGGATTCTCATTATATGAAATCATAGCTACCTTATTTATTTACTTCTGTCCATAATTTAATTGTGGTCCTAAAAGTGAAAAAATACGTTCCTATGGGATACAGCCAAAACGTAAAGTACGATGAAATCAGATAGATTAGCAGATGAGTTCAAAAACAGGCAAATTTCGATAAAATCGTACCTTATCTCCGAAGAGAAGAAAAATAGAGGATAACTATTTTCCACATACATATGTATTTAGATTAAATAAACAAATCGTAAGAACGTCTTTAACCTGCAAAAACGTCACAGACAATGTTATGATCATAAATCTGACCGTCCACAAAAAAAATGCTCTTTAGGTCGATAACGCGATAAAAGGTTAGTGTCTTCAGCAATACATTGACATTTACTATAACTTTGCTCAAGACACCTTCTCTCTATCTCGATTTTTGTCAAAATATAATTTGAACCTCACTTGTAGGGGGATTAATCAAGCAAAAAATACCGTCAAAAGACGGGGCCATAAATACCAACAAACTTCTCTCAGCATACTGTATACCTAAAGTGAATGATTTTGACGTAATCTCACACGATCACGTTGTTCGCCGTTTGAACCACTGTGGTAAATGAGGTTAACGATAAACCACTTGCGATGGTCATTGCGGCATTGAAGGAATTGAAAAAGCTGATCAATTAGCAAAGCTTGGCTCATCCCAGCAATTTGCTGGGCCAAAACCGTTTATTTGTCTTAATGTCTTAATGTGCCTTCTAGCCTGAAAATGGAATAAAGGAACTGGGAAAAGGCAAGGTATATGCAATCCATTTCGAATAACATCTCAACAGAACGGCCATAAGCGTAGGCAGAGATCGGTAGGGGGAGAGGCAACTGCCCCTCTTGAGTCAGCAACATAAAATCGTACTATTGGCATTCGGCCAAATCCTCCATAGAAAAAAAAATGTCACCGCTCCGCTAGTTTGAAACCTGGCTACGTTCTTGAGTGGCAATCAAAACGATTTACAAAGGCTACCGTTTTGAATACGCAAAGGCTACTCATTCTTACTGGGTTAATAACAGGGTATTGTTCTGGTAAACTCCATCTAATGATTGTTGGAAAACATAGTGATGACAGATGTCGTTTTTGCAATTTGGAGAGCAAAAGCTCTGATCGGTTTGTTGTGTGATTGCGTTGTACTATTTAATAAACGTTGCACCTTTCTTGAAAAAGGAAATACCGTACCTGAATTAATCTTTACTAATTTACAAATCAAAGGTTTAAACTTTATACGAAGGAAGTGCAATTCCATGTTGGGAGAATGCCGATAATCACTTAATAGTGGTTGATCATCGAAACACACGGCAAACAGTAAAAAAGGATATACCCCAATGGATCAAAATACATCGTGCACTGGTAAATGTCCCCGACGGGGGAAAAGGAACACTTGCAAAGTATTACCTATGTCTATTATTTATAATAACTTCGTTTGTGAAACTTGCTGTATGTTAAGAAACTGTGCAAGCATATATATAGCAGGCAGATCTATTACTGACTGACACTAAAAGGAATTTTGTGGACCTTGCACAACTAGCCGCCTAGTTTCAGCGAGCATTACTCAATACTTTGTTTTACTCCAGCACATTTATTAACATCCTTACAAATGTCCATGCAAGATTCTAATACTTGTCTTTCTATTCCCCGAACAGGTCTCCGCAAGAACCGTCAGTAAATGACGTCAGCGTTTATTTTGCTTAAGTCATCATCACCGTCATACTAGATTTTAAAAAAACAACGCATGATCATCGTTCAACTTCCACAAGAACAACAAAAACCTAGCAAACAAACAAACAAAAAATCCTGCGCTAATCCATTATTGAGCCAACGCAAGCTGTATTGAATGAGAGTTTCATCCGAGAATTGCCAAAACACTGATCGTCTTCGCGCGAATGACACGTATCTTCCGTACAGTGCTGCAAGAGGCCAAATTCAGCAGCACACAAAAAAAATGCAAGAGCATGATCAGTTGAATCTAACTTATCATGATAGCCGATAAATATTGAAGTTTAGCTGAATCAAATTTTAACTGTGAAATCTAAACACGTATACATACACATGAACAGCGAAAACACACATACATACATACATAAGAACAAGCAAACACTTACACTAGCGGATTGACAGATACACGTGACGAGTGAACGTTAATTACGAGTTCATACAAGTAAACAACCAACAAAAACAAAACAAAACACATTCATATATTCGTTTTAATTGACATTTGTAAAGTAAGCAAACTTAAAGCAGTTGATTAAGTTGAACAAGAAGAGTAAAGGACATGCCGAAAAAACTCGAAAATAAACTTACGTGTTAAATAAAATTTATTATAGATATTAAATAAAAAGAGCAAGTAACAAGAAAACCAGAACAAACTTAAACTGAACGGCAGAAGCTAGAACACGTTCACAGAAGATCTGAGAAACGAATAAAATCAAAAAGGAAAACCTGGTAGAAGATCAACGACAAAAAAAAAATGCCCGTAATCAAAATGAAAATACTAAAAAGAAGTAAGTTCTCTTCCCGATTCTAGGAGCCAAACTACAACCAAAACTGTTCGCTATTCTATCCGAAAGCAGCGAAGAGAAGTGCAGCAAACTGTAACCATTTCGTGAATTGATTCCATTACCTAATTAGAGTAGATGAGGAAAAATTATACAGCAATTTGCGCTAGAGCCAAGTTATAGATAAATTGTCAAATTGTTATCACCAATAGTAACGTGTATATTCTACCAACAGGCACACACACATACACAAACACGCTATAGAACATCCAATATTTGAAGTTCCGATTGGCACCCGTTTCCAGTTTTGCAGCAAACAAAAGTTTCGTTTCAACTCCGCTTCCGTAGCTATGCCCAGATCTGCACCTTGTTCAGTAGTTTGACCCCCCTTATCCCCCGCCCTAACCCAACCTTAACCCATTCACAGCTCTCTTGTATGTTTGATGTTCGACGTTGATAACTTGTAAAATCGAAATTAAAATGCCATTGGGAGAAAACCAAATTTAAGAAAACATGTGAGTAACGGTAAAGAACAAAAAAAAAGTACATATTGAATTGCATGTTTTCAAAAAGATAAATACGAAATGGCATTAACATTAACGACACAAAGAGTCGAAGGGAAAGAAGAAAAGCCGAAAAGTAACAGAGACAAAACAACTAGATAAATATTTATAAAAGTAAAAACCAGAAGCGGAAGGGGGAAAAAAGAAGCCGACAAAAGAAAACATATACACTTACTCTTAGAACCTATTACTACTGTATAAATTGTCTCATACTACGCAATAGGAACAAAAGAAAAATTGTAAAGCCAGACAAAACAAAATCTGTAAAAGAAAAAAAAATGTCACTCGACGTCAGCTCTCTATGAAATGTGTATTTGGTTTCAAGCTGGATTTTGTTCTTCTGATTTTGTTTTTCGTTTTCTCCCAATTCGAATAAGATCACAAACATGTTCTGGTTTCCGTGTTTAAACTTGTACGTTTAATGTTTTCTATGAACGTGGATGTCAGAATATCAAAACCAACAGCGTTCTATTTGCAGCAACACCCACAAAAACACAATGCGGTACTGTTGTTTCCGTGTAAGGTTATTTTTCTGTTCGATTCAGCTCATTAAAAATATATACAATAACTGTAGATTTAAAATATCAAATTTCTTAATAAAACATATTCTTTTGTGATATGTTGTAAAGGGTCTGCGTTCGTTTGCTTAGTTTGATGACATGCCCATCCATGCCAATAGTACAAGATCCACTCCGTTCGGTCCTACAAAGTTTAATTGGAAGTAACCGTACATTCGTTTTTTACTTTGATTGTTAGGAGTTTCACCGACTCCTTCGAGAGAACCTGGAAGCACAATAATTGTGCTGGAAGTCCAGTTCACGTGAGAACTGAGACACTTGTGAGCGCACCAATGCGTGTATTCTTTGTTCAACCAAATTACGTTCCGATCCTGAGATCACAACCGTGTGTTACAGCCATTTTTCCCCCTTGATTTGTTTTCCTGCAATCTTGTTTTCCGTGCTGAGCACCAATGCTACCGACGCCAGGGAGGCAGCTCCCACACCTGGACCCTACCTTTCGACCCATCAACTCATGAACCGGGGACCGACGGCTTTACTTGCCGAAGGAAGGCGTGATCAGAGATGTTATGCCTCAGAACATCCCGGCGGCGCCGACTGGGATTGAACCCAGGCCTGCTGGGGTGAGAGGTAATCACGCTTACCACTGCACATCCGGCACCGCTGTGTAACAGCCATTGTAATCCTCGATTATACCGACAGCGGATGCCAACATTACCTGTGCTTCCAGCAGCAGCCAATACAGAATGATCCACTAATACCCCGTACAGACTATGGCTTATATCATGTAATATAGGCTGTCTTGCAGTTGCAATGAGCACTCATACATCTAGTTTTCACTGGAAATCCTATGTATGAGTGTTCATTGCAAGACAGCCTATATTACATGATATAAGCCATAGTCTGTACTAGAGTCGGTGTATAATGAGTCACGCCAAGAGAAACACAGTTGAACTCGCATCACGGTTTTCGAAAGATTCCCTTTCTTTTAACTTGGCAACAGAGGACTTCTACATCAACTTCAAATGACTTCTAGCGAGAAAAAAATAATAGCGGCTGTAGTAAATCATTATATCACTGATTTTGTCAAATTATCTTAACAAAAAATAGTAGAAATTCTCATTACTGATCATTACCAAACGTATCCCATGACAATTGAATGCTCACTGCGTGTTTATTATCATTTCTTCGATTATATTTTATGTTTTATTGTAATACCTTTCGTGGACCTTCCATAGCATCGTAATGTTTGTTTACTTTGCACGATAGGTAGCTGGTTTGACAGTTCGATAGGTAGACTTGGCTTCACTCTTGGCGTGACTCATTATACACCGACTCTAGTCTGTACAGGGTATAACCACAGACAAACAGACATACACATTGAATATTTCTTACTGTAAAACATCGTCGCTAAAACATTACCGCCATCTGTTGAGTAAACTGTGGTGGGTGTAGTAGGTATAGCAGTTATTAGTAAGAAAAGTGAATTCTACCAAAGCGTGTACAAGGTAAATCAAATGAGATCGGAGTAGTAATTACAAAGAAAAAAGGGTATGCGCAAATCTGTGTGTATGTAAAGAAAGCTCATAACTGCACGAAAATCGAAATGCTAATCTGAACCGGAAAACGATCGCCGAGGTTGAAAGCCAAAGTTCGGAAATCGTTTCCAGTACGAGAGTTAACCAATTCCGAATGAACGTGGGGTGAGAATGAGAGAACAGAATATGGCATAGAGTAATCGGAACGAAGGTGAAGTCTATCAGGAAGCGAGTCTTTTTCGGATTAGAGAGAGATGGGCTAGAATGATGAAATTATAATGATGGAGTGAGAAGACACCAAACCGAACTGGAGAGATTCGGAAAGGGGAAATTAACGAAGTAGCATACTCGACTTCGATTCGAGGCTAGCACGAGGATTCTGTTGGTTACATTTGGCGTTAGCAGACGTGTTTTTTGGAGCCATGGCGGGTAAACGGAAGTCGGCTGGAATAATGCCCTTGAAGCGGCACGACAGTGGGCACTACACTGAACAGATGGGGGTAGTCACCCCTATTCTGTATTTCGTTTCGAACGAAATTCTCATACAAAAAAATATTTTTTTGTATGAGAATTTCGTTCGAAACGAAATACAGAATAGGGGTGAGTGTGTAAACATCAAACGCAAGGGAATTGACTATGCGCCACAGGTGGCGGTACTACCAATTACGATACTTTTAATTTGTCCGTTAAATGCTTGTTCGATGAACAACTTGCGAGTGTTATGTTTGTTTGTCTGTGGTATAACCATAGAGGTAACTCTAAGACCAGAAGGTCCCGATGAAACGTGCTCAACTTTTTGGCCCAGCGCTGGTACTCTCTTCGGTCCCAAGTTAATCGATGCACCCCTCGAAACATAGGAAAATCCACGAACCCCTTATTTTATCTGTCAAAAGTTCATAGTGAATCATAACAAACATATTTTAGTACTAGAATTTCGACTAGAATGGGGTACGTTAATCGATTTGTTTGGGGCCAATAGGCTAGTCAAGTAGTTAGCCAATTTAAAATCGTTAGTTTCCAACCGGTGCTACTAGTAATTGTAATTGTAATTGTAATTGTAATTGTAATTGTTCAGTGCATAGGCTGTGCCTTCCGCTAAGAAGGCTTATCTAGGGTCCAACCCCCTAGTCTATACACCTACTGTCCTTCCCGTTGCACTCGTCAGCTCGTGCGATACTCTAGACACACATGGGTGGTCGTATCCGGGTCCTCCCCTGGGTAGGCTCGTGTCCGTCCAGGTTCTGGTACATTAACTTATCTATATGCATGGTAATTATACTTTTAAAACTCACCTTTTGATTATAATGTCGAAAATGCTGAAACTAAATAAAGGTTAGCGATCCATATAAGGTGTGTGCTGCGACGGAGTAGTAATTGAAGGAAATGAGGTTCTGATGTGAAGTATAGGTAATTCTAAAATAGGTAAATCAATTAATCATTAGCTGCTAACAGTTACTAATAAATGGGTACGATAAATCACTCATCAATGAGTATTGCCACTCCCACTGAAAAATGGGCAAAACCTTAATCATAAATGGATATTCGATTGCTACCGTGTATTTAAAGTTAAGTTAGGATCTTATCAAGCAAACACACACCTTTTACGATTCTTATCCTACTTACGGTTTCCTGCACATAAGACTTTTCCTAGATACAAGCTTCGTCCAGTATACATTGGCTGTCTCCAACCGGCATGATCCTTTATGTCTGGTTCCTCTTGCCGGTGCAAGTTTAATTCTTCTTTTCTTGTTCGAATTTTTCCTATTGAACTTCTGGTCGTGTTCCCATTTGTCCTCAGGCAGTTAATATTAGTACATTATATGAAGAAAGAAAGAAATAGAACAAGTTAAGTGTGAGCCGCATGCATTGGTTACTTATTTGGGTCATGGTGTTGTCTTCCCTATTTATTTGCCTCTATTCGTTCTCATATCGCAACGTTTAACTAACCCCCTTCCCTCACACTATTATGGTCGGAAAAGAGAACCCATATTTAGTAATCTATCGCGAACTGCGATGCAGAAGATATTAATAGCAAACTAATCTGGAACTGGTCTAAGACATATGACCCAGTGAGTATTGACACCTCACACTGTTGTGAATGAGCACGGACGCGAGATTTACTAGAGTATTAAATGCAAAACGCAAATTTAAAATAAAACTTGACAAGACATCGTCAATCCCCTTATTCTTGGGCAGGGTCTGACGATGTGAATCTGATTTTGATCAGTGAACGGGCCCCATATGGTACATTTTCTCACTATGAACCTGTCATTTCCAGCCTATCTGAACTATTTAATAAATGGAAACCATAACATGGGCTACGCTCCTCCTAAGCGGGCCCTCCGCATCTTATCTCTGTCTTATCTCAAATGCCAATGGTTTGAATGTATCAATATATACATTGGAAATGACGTTCAATCAAATAAACCCATACCCCACTCACTTGGCCAGTCTTCAGAATCTTCCAGTGGGCAGTGCGCTCTACACTCCAAGTTCCCTTTCTTTCAAATTCACCCCAAATTTGATATTTTACCCATTTGAGTGTTGATTAATCACAATGAAACATTGTGACAGAGCACGGACTTGAGGTTACTATAGTATTAAATAATCTAGGTCCTATTTAGGATTATATCTGAAAAATCCAAATTTGGCCAACGCCCACCAGTTTCCAACCGGTGCTACTAGTCTGCCGAAAATCTCCCATGTTATTTCTGATGTGATTTACGATATTTTGACGTCCATTATCTTTGTATGGTGATCTTGAGAGTTGCGTCTTATAAAATCGTAACACCAATGCGGAAAATGGACAGTGTCTCCGGGTATTTTATTAAAGAGCATCACTCCATTGTCGTATCGCATGTGCTCCATTTTGCAGCTCTTCTCCAAGGGGTAGATCACTCCGCACACCAATATTGGATCAACATTTTTCTCCGTGTGCCGCAAATGTAACGCTGGTGTGCCGATTGTGCCGGCAGTGCTGCGATTTTTCAAAAAATACGAACAGTATGGTATATTTTAGAACCCAGTATTTCTGACAGCTTGAATATGCCCCAAAAATGTCGAATATCGTGCTCGATTAGGATTCCTTCAACAGACGAATAAAATGCCTCTACGCCAGCTGGAAGGAACCAGAGTTTTCCCATGATGATTCGCTGCAGAAGGTGGATTTCATTCTGACGGCGGTCGGCGTAGACGAGGAAACCATCTACAGCAAATCAACCTCGCTGAAGACCTGGCTGCTGGGATACGAGCTGATCGATATGATTACGGTGCTGTTTGAAAAGTCAATCTTTTTTTTTGGCCAGCAAGAAGAAGGTCGATTCCCTGAAGCAGATCGAGAAGGACGGGAGGAGGGCATTCCGTCGGTGAAGCTGTTGGTTCGGGAAAAGAACGTCAAAGACAAAGATCACATCATGGAGATTATGGATGCTGATAAGAAAGTAAAACATGCCAAACTGTCGGAGGGTGTCGAGCAGGCACTGACGGACAAAAGGTACGTCTCCGGTGTGGATACCAACGTGTTGGACATGTGATACCCTGCGATTATCCAGTCGGGTGGCAATTACAGCTTG